TGATTCGGTTGGATTATTTTTGCATATCACTACAAAAAAGAATATCTTTTTATTTAATATTTAGAACAAAATCATGAAAATTTTGTTATATTTAACAGACATATTAGAGTGTTTTTCGTGAGGGACAAAATTTGTCTCAAATTTGTGGAATCACCCGTGTATGAAAGTTCATAGCAGCACCACAGCTTGGTTAAGTGTAAAAATTTATCGATAGGAATGCCATTCAAAACATTTCAAACGATCAGAGGACAAATTAAATGCTGACAACTTTGTTGCACAATGACATGCTGGTGAGATTATTATGTTTTCGTATTCAAAAGTATCTGTATGTAAATTATTTTCCTCCCACAGGTTTAAAACTGCCCATGGTGGCTACTGCCAGCGACATTGTTTAGGTCTCTGTTATAGCTTACAGCCTAAGTATCATTCTTCAGAAAAGGGTCGCTTATGCATCAGATGTAATGAATAAAACTATGGGAGAAGTTAAGTTCATTTGAGGAAGAAATAAACAATAGCCTGAAGAAATAAAAAAATTTAACTATTAAAAAGCAAGTACATACAAATATATACAGGCATGTAGTATCGTTTGTGGCAGCCAGAAAAATTATTTTACACTTAACTGAAAAAATGTTTAACCTACTCCTCAATACTCCCTGTCTGTTTTATGATAGGAATTATGATTTTAGGTATCAAGTATATTTTAGAACAATGTCTACACATTCCCCTAACACATATTTTAAAGATGAAGATATATTGAAAGAGTTTTAAAGAATTATTTTTTTTTAAATCTATTTTGATCAACATCACAAGATTTATATCACTGGCCCAAACTGGCAGATGATGAAATAAACAAATGTTCTACTTTCCCATTTGTAACCATTATGTGTCCAGTGGCAAGGAGCTTGTTAGGATAGCATAAAAAAGAAGCAAAAAATGAATACATGTACAAAAGTCGATACTTTATCCAAAAATTTTTCATTGTTTGTTTATTTTCTCCTCCTACGGAAATTTTTCATTCTGATATTTGTAACTAAACCTAAAAATTACTAAATGCTGGCCTTATAATGAAGAAAGATGTCTCTTTAAAAATGGTCAGTTTCAAGGCCCCTGGGTCCGGGGTACCGGGGGGGTGTACTTTGTCTAAAATTAAATTAATACTTTGAAATCTGCTCTTTGATAAGCCATTGTGCCTCTTTCAAAATTGTGAATTTCGTGGCTTTTGGATTAAAACACGAACCAAATTCAATTGCTGGAAAGTTGTTACATGATACTCAGGTGACCTATAAGGCCCCTGGGCCTCTTGTTTCATCCACACTTTAGTTGGTGAAGTCAAGGTAGTTTTAAAATCTATCATCGGTGTGTTGTAAACGTGTATGCTAATATAATTTAATTGTGGATCAAATCCTGTAACATGGAAAGAAACCAGGGCCCCATCTCTAGTTATGTGGGAGTCTTATGGTTAAAAATAATTTCAGACCTTAGAATAAGATTTGGAAAAAGTAATGACTGATAGTAAAATTTTGAGTTACTTACTCAGACAGGACGTATTGATAGAAGTTTGAGGAATATGATCAGTCACCAATGTAAGGTAAACAGCAAAAGCCAGAAGAGTTGTGAGAGCGTACCCCATCTTTTCTCCTGAATCTGGTGGAAGTTGGAAAACGAAAACTTTTAAAAAAGCCAAGAGGACCATGGGAAGAATTGTATTCATAACCTGAAATGCAGGGCGCCGCCTGAAGGTTAAATTGAAGCTGATTTGGGGTAAAGTATTGCTTCCGGACGTCCGTGTTGTAGAATCTGTTGAGGAAGAAACGAATTCCCACTCTCCATTTGAATCATAATATGAAGTGTCGACCCCAACACCTGTAAGGGCGATTTCTATGTTGGTGTATCCCCATGTGGTTAACAACACAGAGCATGTTTGTATGTCAAATGGGTAAAATGTTACATCTGTTGTACACGACGTTAGGTAGACGCCACCTGGCGTCCAAGTCAGAGTCCCATCACTAGCAACTCGAATGACGACAGTATCGTCACTGATTACACCAATATCGTCTACTCTGAAAGAAACAATGTTATTCTTATATATCTATAACAAGATCTCAAGTCAATCCAATACAGAGGCAATGAAATAGAAAATTCTATTAGTGTAAGGTATGATATTATTGTATCCTCTTAATTAACTAAGCATTAAGTTTGTAGTTTAACTTCCACCTCGAGAATCTCTCACTCATATGGAGACACCACCAGATGCTGGCGGAGGGCTGCGAATTTATGCCTCGAAACTCAGCACTCATGACTATTTAGCAGTGAGGGATCTTTTTCGTGCCAATATCGACTGCAACACGGGACCTCGGTTTATAAGGTCTCATCCAATGGGCCGATTTAGAATAAGAACATTAAGTATCGACAAACATCAGCTTTTAAAACAAGCTGTTAAAATTTGATTCTTATATGTTAATCATGTTAACAAATGTCATTTCTAATTAAATAAGATGCATGAAAGCAAAAAATATCTTTTTATACATACGAATTCGTAACCGAGAGTGATGGAATCCACACGTAATCTTCCGTGGAGTAAATGACTGGTACATCGGTGCTGTATGTTGGGTTAGTGCTCCACGATAAACGAGAGTCGGTCCATTGCTAATTTTTGACAAAAAATTGAATTCAATCTACATGTAAGTATTTAAAGTCGTCAACGATCATCAATATCAATGGAAATGGAATGTGTACATTAAGGGAATCCACCATCAATGTTAGGCCCAAAAGTGACGCAACGGAAGTGACGTAATTTAAACCGGGATTAATGTCGTGTATTATCTAAATTAATAGATTTGCCATTTTGCAAGGGGATGCTTTGCTTTGAGCTGCCCTTGTTAGAATTATTTTCATTGCACAGGGAAGACACTTAATGTGCCAGCTGCGATATCGCTTATGAATACATTTTAAGAAACACAAAAATATATTGCTTATAAAAATGGTGAAAAGGATATGTTTGATACCTGCTGGAACTGTTGGAATCTATTATTTCAACGATTTTTCAGATGTATTTACATAGTTAATCTTGCGAATGCATGCATTCCTTCTTTTTCTCCTTCTAAATTTCTCTCTGCTCTACCCCCCCCCTTCTCTCTCTTTCTAAAATGGTAAAAAAAAATTACACCTCTTAAAGGTGGATGGACACAAAAATATCTTTAAAAAATTATTTCATCTTAAAGTTATTGAAACTTCAAACTTTTGGGTGAGTTTGATTGACACATCCTTGCAATATTACAAATTCTACTTTTATTCTTAATACTTAGTAAAAGTGGCAATCTTGTTGTGTATTTATAAAAAATATTAAGACTTTTATTATGACTGTATCCTGCCGAAAGGACCAAAATTTTATACTAAAATATGGGAATGATACATTTTAAGTTTACATAGATAATTTATGTGTATGATAAGACTCAGTCTGAGACTTCTGAAGTAATTCAGTATAATATATTATTATCCAGTCCTGACAACCTTGAATTGTACATTGGATAGAAATGTTCCCTTATAATAACACATTACCTTATGTATTTCTACATCTATTAAAAACGGGTTTGAGCCTTATATTTTTTCCATTTCTATTTTTTTTTTCTCTGTGATAACTCTTTGAAAGTTACTGAAGTTGATTTCTTGATAAGTCTGCCGGAATGTAAATTAAGCAAATCGAAGCTGAGGAGGCTTAATATGCATGTAAATCTCGTGCCGCTGTCTTTGTGTTTGACTTCAGTGGGCAAAGACTACTGAAATTGGAATGGGAGTCCTCGTGTAATTTAAATATTTTATAGTCTACATTTTTAACATTTAAATCTACAATTTTATTTCACAATGAAATGGAAACATAAGGAATCCTTAATTAGCTGAAATGCTAACTCCCAAAGTTATTACAAATCGTTTAATTTGAGTGCTTAGAGTGTACTATATGGAGAGACTGGTACACTGTAAAGTATTATCTGTGTGTTCCTGCTACTCAAGGACAGAAAAAAAGAACTGTCCATTTATATGTGTGAGAAAACATCATCAAAATTAAATTGAATCCACAAAACATTGTAAAGCACGTGTTACATTAAAATGTCTTGCTATTATTCAGAAGAAAATACGTCTATAAATTTCAATATTTCCTCATTTAGATTTATACCTTTGTTAAAAGGAAATATAAATTTTATACTTACTAATGTAAAATAACAGGAAACCGACATTGTCTGGTCTTTAATGCTCTACAATTAAAAATCGATGAAGTTTCGCTGATAAAATAAAACTGAGTAATTCTTTCAATAACAGTGCATAGATATAAGAATTTTCATTGTCAGAAAAAAAATATCAGATTGATGTAACAATTTAAAACAAATGCAAAGGACAAATATAAGTTAATTTCCTGTTGTATACCCACCTTTAGATTTTGTACATCAGAACACGTTAGTTGTTATTTAGCTAGAAACTGATTTATCAGGGATTATTATTCCCTCGCAGAGGAGACGCTGGGGAGTTGAATATCGTAACGCACTAGTGAATGTGTGGGTTAGTTTTTCCTTTAGTGTGTAACGGAAATGATGTATTTTACTGGGTAGATGTTGAATGTTGCCTTGATTTACAGATATACTCTTTTGCAAGGGGATGTTCTTGTTAATTTATTGATTACCAATGATGTACATGTAAAAATCTTAAACATTTACTCACCAGTTATATCATGCCCTAGATATTGATTTGCCCGTGTGATTATAGACATATATCTTGACTTACCAGTGATGTAAGCGTCAGTAGGTTGAGTTGGGCCGATATTGTAACTTGTGCCAGTGGACGTGTAAATTTGTTGTAACTGTTAGTTGTAAAGAGAAGAGTTCTAAGATCGTTCTCAAGAGAATACGAAAACGCTGCTTCACCAAAGGAAATCGCTGCAAAACAAGAGATAAATGGGTTAGTAGAACAATCATTTGAGACATCGTGGCTAGTGTGTTTGATCTTTATGATTTTAGAAAGGGTTTTCTCAACTCTATTATTAGATAATTATCGTCCCTCACTGTGACTGCATATGGCCTCGATGTCCTGATTCGATAAGCAAGAGTATGGCCTGAATACGACCATGAGAGCAGACATAGACTACTGAAAAATAAGTTGAAGTAAGTAACTGTATTTAACAATCTCGTTGAAAGTCAGCATTTCGCAAATTCTATGGTCGTTATAATGACCTTGTTTGCAATTTGTTTGGGGATTTTAAACTGCATGTCCCACAAAACAAAGTTAATCATTATTTCGACCGGAAACATCAGGAAGAAGTCATTATTTCATGAATACATTTTGGACATTCAAGGTTTACAAAGTCATATCTGCTAAATGTAAATTACCAACCTGAATGTGTTTATGGTGATTAACGAAACACCATATTATTTTGGAACGTTCTGATTTTTTCGCATTTGCAAAGTAGACATTTTAAAAATGTGCACACAATGCATGACATTTTTACAAACAGTAATCCTCGAACGATTCTGCAGTGTTGAAACTGATTTTTACAATGATTTAAATAAATATATTTTTATACGCATTTCGGGGTTAAAATTTTAAGTTAAACTGTGTAATTTTTTAATTCCAAGTCCGTTGGATTGAACATTTAATGGGGTTTCGTGTCAAGGATTGCAACCCTTAGCACGCTCAAGATCGTTTCTCTGGTTTTCGAAAAAGAGTAAACTCGCCAGATAAAACCCTAAGGAAAAATCAAAACCATCCATACGGTATAATATGAATATACGTGTATATATTTAATTATTTATGTCTGTCTCCCCACCACTCATAGTTTAGAGAAAAACTCAATAAAGATTAACAAGCTAATTCAGAGAATTTGTGTTCTCCGCTTAGGGAAAAAAGTAAACCATGCGCAGTTCGGGGGGAGGGGGGGGGGGGGGAATCGGATCCCCTTGACTGAATTTGTAGAATTATTAAATGTATACATGTATACTGAAGCAAATTAAAATTAAACATGAAGTCACATACATGTATATATTCACGTTCGATATTGTCAAAATTTTACACAATGCATGATGTCTAATTTAACCTTTATTAAACAGTTCTAATACATAGGCGTCGGAACCGGGGGGGGGGGGCTAGGGGGGGCTTAGCCCCCCACTTTTTTTCCAAATATATACTTAGTATAGACATTGAACATATCTTCGTAAGTTTAACTCATCATCAAAAAGACTAAAGAACATTCATTACGTAACCCTACAGTACTGGTTACTAAATTTAACCCTTGCGTTAAAGGACTGAAAAAACGAATTCTGAAATATTGGAACACCATTCTTAGAAATCCAGAATGCAAAACTTTATTTAATTCTCAACCAATCATTGCTTACAGCAAACACAAGAATATAGGTGACGAGATAATCCGGTCTCACCTAAAACAAACACCATGATTTATGTCCGTGACCCCTGATGAGGCTTCTTAATAGCCGAAACACTCTACAACTACTTGCATAATTCAAATCAGATATTAATCTGCTCTATGCAAAAAACATATCTACTTAAAGTGTGGTTTGGAGTGTCGGGTCCTAATAAATCTCTTACAAGTTTGGTTGATTGATGTCGCTAATTTTCACAGTTTAGCTCCCCCCCCCCACTTTCCACAGATACGTCTTAGTATAGGTTAAAATTGGTAAAAGTGTTGGTGTTTGAAAGAAAATTTTTGGTACTGGAGTTCGAACTGCCCCCCCCCCCCCCCCCCCCCCCCCCCGAAATAGGATTTTCGTGTTTGGGAAATAGACATTTCCTTTTTTTTTTTTTTTTTTTTTGCTTTTCAGGTTTTTTTGGAGGTACAAAAAAATTTTTCTTACACTTAGCCCCCCCACTTTCAATTTGCTTCCGACGCCAATGTAATAGATGTAATAAGAAAGTCCGCCGAGAACCTGTTTTATACGTAATAACTTTCCTCATGCCCCTGTGCTAAAAATAGCGACGTCATGTAATACAATCATTACTAATAAAACAAACGGTGCGGGACACTTTGAGAGGGGTGAGAGAGGTTCTAGGGAGTTTTGGTATAAAAGTACATTGCAAAAGCTCAAAATTTTCTTGAAATATCGCCCGGAAAGGATAGTGTTACACACAGACAGAATGTATAAATTTACGACCTTGAACTTTGATCTTTTGACCTCAAAATCAATAGGGGTCTTCCTTAGGCCACAGGGAGTTGTTATGTAAAATTTCATTGCAAAAGCTCAAAGGGTTCTCGAGATATCGCGCGGAAACGAAAGTGTTATAACAGACAGAATTTGCGAAATTATGACCTTGACCTTTTGACCTCAAAATCAATAGGGTTCTTCTTTAGTCCATAGGGATTTGCTATGCAAAATTTCATTGCGAAAGCTCAAAGGGTTCTCGAGATTTCGTGTGGAAACGAAAGCGTTACAGACAGACAGAAAGACGGACGGACGGACAGACCCAAATTAATATCCCCCACTTTTCAAGCGGGGGACAAAAAGAAAGAAAGAAATACACATGCATCTAAGCTAACAATCTTACTAATAAACCATATAAGGGGGAGAGATAAAGTACATTTAACCCAAGTTTTAGATCTACTTCTACTAATGTCAATAACAATTTTAATCTGTTTTAATTCTTAAAGTAGTGAATACAAGAAGTACGTGGATCTTGATTAATCCATTAATCTCATTAACCTGCACATTTGATTCATGTTTAATGATCATTGCAAGTTCATTATACTCTGTAAACAGGATATATTTAATTTATACATGTAAACAAAAGCCAATACATAGTGGAAATACTTTAGGAGAAATTTCCATTACATAAGTTATCTTTGTTTCCTCGTCTAACAATATAATATCAGTAACCTGTATTTAATTTAATTACATAATTTTAATTCAGTACACAGATTTTACATTCAAATTATTTGATGAGATGTAATTTTGTGATGTAAAAAAAAAATATTCGTAAAAGTAATTTTGAATGACATTCACTTCATTAAAAATTAGCGCTGAACCTACATGTATTGGATTTCCTTATCCTGATTAAATTAAATTATTTCTTGCATAAATCGGTGTTAAAGATTATTGATATAAATATACATGTAATTGTTTTCCCTTCAAATGTTGATTTAGACTTTTAGTGATACTTACAGGATAAAAGCACCGTAAGAAAAAATATATTCCTGAAAACCATCCTTGGATTTTTTTTAAAATCAATCTATGAACCACGATTTTTTTTATCCCAGTTATCAGTGTACTGGAACCTGACGTTCATACTCTATAAAAACAATGTAACAGGCTACAGGTGAATATAATAGGTGTATAATACCAAGTATAGCCCAATCAAAATGAAGTTAAATCCAGCTCAAAGCTTTAATTCATTAGATTATCGTGTAGTTGATCGAGGCAATACTCTTATTTTAGCACTTCGTCTAAAGTACATGTGTACATATACAAACATCTCTGACAGTACTTATACAGACAATCACAGACCTGATAAAACAATTTTAAAAAAAACATTTACTCAGCGGATATTGGCGGTACTGATTTTAAACAACATTCAAAGTCAACATGTTGCTTGCGTGTTAATACTCTATGCGCTGATCTTACCATTAGTACTTGTACAGGTACAGCATCCACAAGTTTAACTAATTTTATCAGAGCTGGGGGACCTGAAGACAAAAATACATGTATGGTTATCGACAAAAATTACACCGCCAATTAAACGTAGTGAAATCGATCCAAACCCCAAACCAGAAGCTGAGTTGTGACTTTTAACTTAAAGCAAATTACAACGTCCACAAGTTGCAATCATCAATGCAAAAATCATTTCATGTCCCATTCATAAATACACTATATTTTCGATTCAAAAAATTGCTGTATCAAGTACTTCTACTGCCTAAAAGCTGCGTATTTTTTTTACACGATTGAAGAAAAGCCCAAGAAAGATCTATGAACAAAAACGATTTTGAACATGCCGCACTGATATTCAAGCTGTCGCTTTTCTTTAATTAAGGAGGCTCATTACACCACTTTTTGATGACGCACTACACCAAAAAATTAACCTCCATAATAACTAAAATGACATATTCACGAACAATTTTGTTTAAAAAAAATTTGAACTGGAACGTCAGAAACAGGACAGCGGCTTTCCTTGCGATGAGTGAGCATCCTTCTTTCCATTCTCAAATAGTTAGAGTCTGCGACCCGTTCTACAAAAGAATTTACATGTACGACTAAGACCGAGACCAATTGGTTGATTGTAAAATTTTGTAGAAAATTGCTAGCATAAAAATATTTCGTTAAATTCTTTTTAAAAAGATTAAAACAACTTTCAAATCGACCTAAATTAGAAAGTTATAAGCTGAATTTAATATTGGTCTTAGTCTTGAGTTCTTTTGTAAAACAGGCCCCTGAAATCCTGCGTCTACAAATGCTTTATTACAATTTAATTTCTGTAAACATAAAACACGCACGTGATATTCAATATATTTAATGACCTGACTTATTTTTAAGATCACTTGCAGAATCTTCCCGTTTTATGTTTATTTCTGATTATCAGCGAGTATACTGCATATATTTATTAGAAAGCTCTATTGGAACATTGATTACATTGGAACAAAAATCAAACATGTTCTCTCCTCAGGGCACCTTATTTTTGAAAATCGAACACTACCATTACGTGGCATTGTCATTGTTGAATTGTGTTCATTATTTTATCTTCTACCTTTTAGAGATAAATCTGATGAAATAAAGGCCGAAAAAGCAAACTATTTACACTAAAATCTCATGAAAAATAATTCTCTTATACAAGCTTTAATCAACTAAACAAATGATAATCCTGCGGGCAGCTAAAGAAAATTTGACCAATCTTAATAGACCCATACCACTTCCTGGTCTTTTTCAGTTTTTCCCTGTTT